CATAGAAAGAGAGGGTGACGTGGAGGATGAGAGGAGGGGGGTTGAAGGGGGGAACACGAGGAGGGTAGGTTGTCCTAGGCTCAAATCCAGGCAGCGAATTTCGCTCCATTTGGACGAAAACCCAATTGCTCGGGTCTATACGTCATTAGAGCGGGAAACGGAGTTAACGCGGCTAAATCCAGGGGTGGCTCGTCCGGTTACGATATTATTCGCGTTTGTGTGCCACCCCTCTTTCTTCCCCACCCCCTGGTCGTGCCTGCTGCTGCTGCACGCCACGCACTACCATTACTTTCATTTCACGTACATACACACACGAGAAGAATTTTATACACCTATATATATATATACACGTCTCTTTCTCTCTTACACACACACACACACATGTATATACAATTTCTTTTTTTCTCTCTCTCTCTCTCTCACAGAAGTTTCATATCTGTATTTTTCTCTCACACGTGTGCATTCATTTTATTTCTTTTTATTTTTTTTTTATTTTTCTTATACAGAGGAGGAAAACCCCATATCTTCATATATGTTTTTCTCTCGCAGGAGTCTCGTATCTATACGTTTATCTCTCTCTCTCTCACTCTCACTCATTCTTTTTCTATTTAGTTCGTTTTACTGAACCGTGATGAAGAGTTAGAAAAGAGGTGAAAGAAGGAAGTGTATATAGGGGGGTAGGGTGATTATGATGGTATATATATATATATATATATATATATATATATATATATATATATATATATATGTACATATATAGAGGAAGTGGGGGAGATGGGCAACGAGTCGCACCTGTCCAGGTGGGTTTCCGTCGATCTAATGCACGCGCGTGCGCTTTCTCGCGCTACTGCACAATGATGACCTCCATGGAAATTCGAATGAATGATCGTTCGTCCTGTCAAACTCGATTTCCGTGAACAAACTGCATATTTCTCTCGCTATACTGCTGCTGCTACTGTTACTGTTGCTGTTGCTGCTTCGGTCCTGCTGCAACTCCGCCCCCTCAACCCCCTCTACCCCCCCCTGTCGGCCTGTATCTTTCCCATCCTCTTTCATTTTTTTCTTTCTTTCTCCGTTTCGTTCTGTGAAATTCGAATTTCGAGTAACGAAGCTACCACCGGGTTGGCATTGGTTGGTTGGTTGGGTTGGTTGGGTTGGTTGGTTGGTAAAAATGATTTTTCCTGTGATTCACGAACCGTAACGAAACGAATCACGAATTCTCTCTCTCTCTCTCTCTTCTACAGTTTGAATTTGTAAATTTGTTTTATGTTATTATTGTTATGTGTTATATTTGTATATTTTCTTTTCTTTTCCCTTTTCCTTGTTGTCCTGATCTGATCAGATTTTTGTTCCTTTCTACTTCTTCTTCTTCGTGAAATAATTATTTGCGCGTACGTTGTTTGATAAATCACAGTTGGATATTAGAAATTAGAAACAAATAGTTTTCTCTTCTATTATATGGTGTTTTTATAGATATACGTTAGAGATTAGAAGAATATAATATAGTATCGATATGATCTATATTTTGATATGATCTCGATTCAGCAAAGTAATAAACTGTTAAATCCGTATTGAATTGATGCACCAAACCAACCTACTCTTAGTCGTCCTAGGTTAAAGCTTGTTTACGTAGAAACGTTAGTATCGATAAGGAGAGAAATACAAACATAGATGACGGTGTATATATAAGGTATTGAAAGTTCTTCTTCGTTTCGATCGATGAGTATATCGATTAATATCTTTCTATATCTATCTATCTATCTATTTATCTATATCTATCTATATCTATCTATCTATCTATCTATTTATCTATATCTATCTATATCTATTTTGTTAGATTTCACGATGGAAAAGGAAATACAGTAGTTGCATTCGCAACGGTGTATGTATTAAACGTATAGATATAAATAACACTTTGATAAAGGATAATCGTGATACGACTGTATATCCTTTATACAGAAAACGATGCTTATAATGGGTGGTGGTTGGTGGTGGTGGGGGAGGGATACTATTATGTCAATGTAATTTTATTGTTATTATTTGTTAGAAAATTTTTCCTCGGAGAAATAATAATTCTTTTTAATAATTTTCTTCTTTTTTTTTTGTTTTCTTTTGATCACGCGTGAGAGAGATAATAAGAATTATTTTGCAAAAAAAAAGTTATAACACGTAATTAAATTATAATTGCGTCTTTATTAATACTATTAACAAAAAAATATTTTAAATAATAATAAAAAGTTTTAAAATATTTTAAATTTAATACAAAATTTTAATGTCAAATAATCATTACGATTAAATTAATTTCTAAATTATTATTCGCATTGCATTCCTCTCTCTCTCTCTCTCTCTCTCTCTCTCCCCCCTCTCTCTCCTTTTGTTTTGAATTCATCATTGTGTTTTA